AGTCGAGCGCGGTTTAGTCGAGCGCGGTTTTGTGGTGGAACCAAAAATGCCAATTGTGTATTGCACGAAGTAAATGTTTATGTAATCAATAGGGATAGATGTGCAATAGATGCCACATTGTCCTATTTGCAATCCAATTTTGATTCAGTGAAAAAGAGAACCAACAGTTATACATTCCACAAGAGCTGGCTGTGTTACATACCAGAATATCTTCTAACTTCATATCTAGAAGCTCTGTTCCAGTTGCATATTTTCCCCAATCATCTTCTTCTTCTCCCATGTTATCTAAGATCAGTTCAAAGAAAATCACTTTCTCTGATAGGGTGCTAAATGTGTTGTCAAAGCAGAACATGTAATCACCTTCCTCTGTCTCCACTCTGTTAACATAAGACATTGCACTTTAATACACTGTAGAGGCAGTTATATTCCTTCTAAAATCTCTTAATGACAGTACTCTGAAACTTTAAAAGGATACAGCTAATTTTACATCTTCTAAACTGTTGCAGCACCATGAGTTGCTAGAAATTTGCAGGGATGCTGTGCAATTGTTAAGGAAAAGAGCAATATTGAACATCTGTTGGACATTGGCTTAATATTGCCGTTTCCCTTAAAACTTTAAAACATCCCACAGTTATCTTGGTGAGTTCACTATCTGTCTTAAACCACGGTTCCCAAACTCACAACACAGCATGCCATGGAAAGAATTATAGACACTAAAGACACTGTGAAGCAAAAAACTTCGGGAACTTCCAACCTAGCCTTTTCCAGCTACAGAAAGACAAGATTTTAAGTAATCTCCCTTTCCATAGCAGTTCCCTATACCTTGCTTCATATCCTTCAAAAAGATCTCACCATCTTTTAGACAATTTGGGGGAGAGGGGGAACGTACAGCAAGGATCGCTCAACCCTTCTGTGAATTTTCTTTTTTCAAAACTCAGGATCTGCCAAGTGAGTCTTCTATGGTTTTCTAAACTTACGTGTGGACACCGTCTGATTTTCTCTGTTCAAAAACTATGGTCTCATGTTTTGGCGATACGAGGTGAAAATCCACATCTAAACCTGCTCCGTCTAGTACCTAAGAATGCAACAAAGAAAGAAATTAAACGAGTCCTCATCAACTTAAGAAATTGGCATATGAGGTTTTTAAAAACCGGTCTTAAACTGAACAAAGTGATATAAGTCTGTGAACCGGACGTGGAAGCCATTGAGGACATCTAATTTATATAGTAAGGGAGAACTGCAGATATAGTTGATAACACTACATCAAAATATTATTTAATAGCTTAGATAAACATGGCCCAAGATTTTGTGAAAGCAACAGCCTTTTTACTCTAGCCCCGTGATGGCGAACTTATGGCATGCGTGTTACAGGTGGCATGCAGAGCCATTTGTTAGGGCATGCGAGACGTCGCCCTGTCAGCTCCAGAGCGCATGCGCGCGCTGGTCAGCTGACTTCGGCCTTCTTTTGAGGTCATTTTTCGCCCTCTGGAGGCTTCCTTGAAGGCTTCTTGAAAAACTGGCCCTATGGGCAAACCGGAAGTTCAGGAACGGACTTCCAGTTTGTTCGTAGGGCCGTTTTTTGCCCTCCGGAGCCTTCAGGAGGCTTCCCTGAAGACTCCAGAGGGCAAAAAACGGCCCTACGAGCAAACCGGAAGTCACTTCTGGTTTGTCTGAAGGGCCGTTTTTCACGCTCTGGAGGCTTCAAGGAAGGGAAGCCTCCTGAAGGCTCCAGAGGTCGGAAAACGGCCTTACAGACAACCGGAAGTCATCGTTCCCAAACTTCCGGGTTCCCCATAGGGCCATTTTTCGCCCTCTGGAGGCTTCCTTGAAGGCTTCTTGAAAAACTGGCCCTACGAGCAAACCGGAAGTCACTTCTGGTTTGTCTGAAGGGCCGTTTTTCACGCTCTGGAGGCTTCAAGGAAGGGAAGCCTCCTGAAGGCCACAGAGGTCGGAAAACGGCCATACAGACAAACCGGAAGTCATCGTTCCCAAACTTCCGGGTTCCCCATAGGGCCATTTTTCGCCCTCCCCAGGCTCCTAGAAAGCCTCTAGAGCCAGGGGAGGATGAAAAAAGTGTGCCAAAAGCGGGGGAGGGGAGTGCCAGTCATGTGCACATGCGCGTGAGGCGTGGTGGCACATGCATGCGGGCTGGGGTCGCACGCACAACCCGCTGTGCTCCCCCTATTTTTGTCACGGGAGCCAAAAAAGGTTAGCCATCAACTGCTCTAGCCTTTCCTTTGTTCTTCATGTTACAAAGAACAATAGCAGCNAAAGAGACAAGAAAAAAAATGACAAGTCGAGTGAGAAGGGATAAAAGGAAAAAGAAGCTTCAGATTTCCTTGCCAGCAAATACAAGGATGATTACAAAATTATCTCTTACTGTATGATTAGGAAAAAAGTTTCTTTTTTTCTATTATTCATTTCCCCCAGGACCTCAAACCACGTGGTCCTGCCCATCATCAATAAATCTTCTTTCCAAGCAACTTCCATGAATCCAGTGTCTTTTTCCCCACTTGGAACTGAACCCAGAAGGACATTTCTTCCAACACCCTTATAGACATTTTGTGCGAAACTGAAAAAAAATGCACTTAAGACGTTGTTTCAATGATCAGGGGGGAAATGAATAATAGAAAAAAGTAACTTTTTTTCTAATCCTACAGTAAGAGATAATTTTGTAATCATCCTTGTATTTGCTGGCAAGGAAATCTGAAGCTTCTTTTTCCTTTTATCCCTTCTCACTCGACTTGTCATTTTTTTTCTTGTCTCTTTCTGTCTTTTGTTTTCTCCATTTTGTATTACATTTTTTATGTTCCCTTTAAAGCTTTTAATAAAGTTTATTAAATAAAGACGTTTCAAAGCATTGTTTTTTTTGGGGGGGGGAAATAAGAGTGGGGCATGCTTTAAAAATGGCTTAAAGAAATTCTCCCTGCTATTGATTAAGTTGTATGGGGGATTTTTTCCCCCCAGGATTCTGAAAAACTTGTGGCTATTTTAAACAGCACTGCCCCCTTACAGCAACGCTATCTTTTTTCAGGTCCACACAAAAGCTTGAAAGCTTTTGCTTCGTAATAGAAAGCTTCAAAGCACCTCTTTCAAATCCTTTCCAAACAGTGCACTGTCCTATTTTCTATGTGTCTCCTTAGAAGCAAAGCTCTACTGATTTGCTTCAGATAATAAACACAGCAATCATTTCCCATTAGATGACTTTCCATTTTCTTCAACAAACATCTACCCATTCCATGCAGAGTGGTTTATCAAAATCATATGGAGCTTCTTGCAGGAAAAAAACACAACCTCCAAATATGATTCTGGCTTGGAGTGAGATGATGAATGTTTATATATTATAAATTATCGTGCTACTAGGCATACCCAAATATCACAATAGTACCATAAATTGGTCAAACAGAGCAAAACATATGACTACGTCTCTAAGCTGAATATGCTATATTATGAATACAACTTTCAGGAGGGTAATAAATTCACACAGGGTTGGTTTGGTTTGAAAGCAAAATAGCAGTTGACTTACCTATTCATTAATTCTTGGAAGACATCTTGCTGTATTGGAAATATAAATGTGCTAAGAACTGATTTTAAATATTCCAAAGAAACAAATCCACTTCGACCGACATCATATGCTCTGAAGGCCTTTACAACATCCTCATAGACTGAACGCAACTGTAAAGAATAGATTTACAGTTCATAGTTTTACTCATAAAATATTGAGCTGAAGATATATTGCAGCTATTATAACAATTCCTTCCAAACAGGAGTGGGTTCCTACCGGCTGCACAACCGGTTTGCTTTCTGCGCATGCACACGGGCTTGTCTGAGCCACACTCTGGAAAAGCCAAACTTCCGGGTTCTCGTGTGCATGTGTGCCCGACGATCAGCTGGCCAGCACGCATGCGCAGCGTGACCCGTCAAAACCGCGCTCGACTAAACCGCGCCCAACTAAACCGCGTCGTTGTCGTCATCAACAGGGCAACAACAGCCAGCGCGGAGAAAGAAAGGCTCTTTAAATAGTGCTTTGAAAGCAAGCCGATTCAACTTAAGGTAAGGGTTAGGTTTAGGTTTAGGGTTAGGTTAAGGGTTAGGTTTAGGTTTAGGGTTAGGGTTAGGTT